ATGGACATTTTACCACCTTTCTGGAAATCTGGAGTTTAAGAAAAAGAGATCAATATAATGTGGTAAGGAGCTCTGCCTGTTACTAGATAGAAGAAAAACAGGCAGGAACATTAATGAAATAGTGGCCTGGTTTTTTCTGTGTCATGATGCTTTAGGGCTTGTGGCAGTTTCTGTGGGGGGAGGAGCTGCAGTTTTTCTATTGTAATGCACCAGGTTCCAAGGCAGCTGAGTGGTTGAGAAAGAGTATAAAGCCTCTGCATTGCTAAGCCAGAGACCAAACTGGAGAAGGCTTGGAGGAAAGCTGGAGTTCTCCTCCAACTGCTTGATTCTGAGAGTCCTATTCAACTCCTGTCCTGCTGGTCTGCTGACCCACCCACACACTGAACTGTCTCTGATCCTCCTCCCCAACTCTAGTACTTTATCTCACTCCGATTCTTTTCCCTAGTACCTTTCTCCACTTCTTTCCAGGTGCCCAATATGCCCCTTCTTGCCCTGCCCCACCCCTTTCCTTCCCCTGTAAGACACCTTCCCTTCCCTTTTCCATCCCCACCCCACCCAGCACCCTCTGAACCCCTAGTCCTCCCACAATTCTTCCTTTGCAACCTCTGGACGTCTACAGAGGATAAAGACATGATGTTGAATCTGCTCTTGTGTGTCTTCCTGTTAGTACATCCCTGTTATTTCAATGTGAATGTGAGTAACACTGGGCCTGAACAGGCTAAGGCTCCTTTGCATTGGGCTCTTTCACTCTGTGGTTCTCATAACAATGCTGTGGGGGCTCGTGGGTGGTATCTCAGCCCTCCTTTCTGGCCAAGGTGAGGTCTTCGTGTAGCTCTCCTGACCAGACCACAGAGGTCTAGTCTCAAGTGTCCACATCAATTTTAGCTTGGCCCCAACACATCAAGATTGACAGGATGGAAAATAACAAGTTTAGAGCATAATAAAAGAAAGATTTTTAAATATAATAAAAGCCATTGAATCGAATGCTTTAGCAATGGGAATTACTTAACTATTATGCTCATTGGTTTACTGTTGTAGACATCTTATTAGAAACTGTAGATATTTCATATTAGTATGTTTTCACACAAGATTTAGTTTTCTTTCTCGCTCTTGTAGAAAAATCCTCAAGAAAATAAAGATAAGAGTTTAGCTTTTTTTATATTTGAAGTCCAAGTATTTCATGTGGATCCTAATCCAAGTGGTAGTATCTAGTAAATATCAGCATATATGTTATGAAAATGAGATAGGTTGGTGGGTTCTTAACTGTGGACAGTTTTACTCTTCCTGGTTGAGGTCTAAATGACAACATGGAGGGAATTGCTATCTATTGAGGTAAGAGGTCAGACCAAGAAAGTTTTGGGGAACAAGGAGAAGAAGATCAGTTTAGTTTTGCAGAGAAGTGGTCAGGAATCAATGGTGAAGAGAGTCTGTATTTCAGAGGGAAAACTTTGGCCTGACCTCCTCTTGAGAATGGAAAGATGATTAATTCATACCAGAGGCTATCAAAAAGCTTAAGGCTTAGAAAGTACCTAGATGATGCCAGGCAAAATGTGTGACATAATGGAGGTTTATACTATCTGTTATGAGTCTTACATCTAGAGAATCATTAATACCAGGGGAGAATGAGTAGAGATGAACTTGATTCAAAATGGGGGTGGTGCATTCTGAATGTTCTTCATAGACTGTGATGATTCAGGATGCTGTCTCGTGATAGCCAGGGTGGCTGCCTGGCACAGAGTAGGTCCACAGATGCTGGGGTGTGTCCCAGTAACTGCAGCAATGTTGGTGGTCAGAAGATTGACCTGAGGCAGCAGAGCTCTGATTATGGGCAAGCAGAAAAGTAGTTTAGACTCCAGTAGATGAGAGATTCCACACCTGGCAGAGGGGTCTAGAATTATGAGCTCTGATTGAAGACATTTTCTGGTGCTACTTACCTGTGAGATGGTGCTTCTTGCATGTTGTTTACCTTTATGGTGGTGGCATTTTCTTCTTGGGGATTAAGAAAAGCTTGGAGAGATTGTAAGTTACCCCAATTTAAAAAAAATATATATAAAAAAAAAAAAAATAGGATGTGTTTTAACACCAGAGAGTAAGAAAAAGGAAGAAAGCAACCCCCTATGTGTCTTGCTAATACTCATTTCCCCCTCCTTTAGGGATTGTGGGCATAGACACACTGAGGCCTGCGTGTTTTTCAAGATACTAGGCCAGGGATTCAAAGCACAGTGGGCCATATGGTGTTTGTATCCCTTCATTACTAGTCTACAGAGCCAGCCCTAGATTGTCCTTGAGGGACTGAGTGATAAAGCTAAGGTTGTACCTAAGTTATATAGTTCA